AGTGCTGTGGGCTAATGCATCAGACTGCAAAGTCATTTGAACTGCAAGGTCAGTGGTTCAAGCTCACCAGCTGCTCCTTGGAAACCCTACCTATAAAGGGTCGCTATAGGTCAAAATCAACTTGACGGCACTTAACAACAGCAACAACAACAGTGTGTCACTATAAGATAAGCACTGAACTGCTAACTGCAAGGGCAGTAGTTTAAACCCACCAGTTGTTCCTTGGAAACCTATTCAGGGTTGTTACGTGTCGGAACCAACTTGATGGCATTTAACAGCAACAGCATACCTATATATACTTGTGGGTGTTATATTAATTCACTTTGATTCCAGGAAAAATTCAGTACAGAATTAGGCAGCCCTAGGACCAAGCAACCAACAGGAAGCAAAATACTTTGCCCTTATATACAGTATTGCGGAGGCTAATTCTGGAAACTTGTCGTCATGTAGATGGCATCCTGGGTAAATCTGGACCAGTACATTTCATCCTTTTAGAAGATACTGCCTCAGTCTCCACTTCTGTGGCTGCAGTAATTCTAGTAGACTGTTGGGATCTCATAACTTACCTTAGGGTTCTAAGGCTCCCTTGTCATTGCTATTAGGTGCCATCAAGTTGATGCCAACTCATAGTGACGTTACACACAACAGAATGAAATACTGCCCAGTCCTGCGCCATCCTCACAAATTATTTTTATGTTTGAGCCCACTGTTGCTGCTGCCACTGTGTCAATCCATCTCATTGGGGTCTTTCTCTAAAACTTTCTGGAGATGATAGTGCAATGGTTCTCTCAGCATGAAAATCTTACCTTAAGGTTAAAAAAAAAAAAAAATCAAGGAATCTCACATAATGATATTTTCTCTTTAAGCAGCTTTTCATTGAGAAAATATATGAAAAAAGTCAGCAACAGTTAAAAAAAATGAGAGAATCTCCTCTTTAAGATTTTTTGAATAGATAATGCATCCAGTGTCCTTGTCCAGAGGCAACTATTGCTTCCATGTTTTCTTTGTCCTTTCACATATAACCTATGTACTATCAACATTCAAGCATGTATCTTTTCATTAAAAAGGATATTTTACCACTCTTTTTCACTTTGCTCTTTTGTTTTTCACTTAACAATGGCTGGTTAAGACTTGAAAAATTGATACGTTAAAAACGAGAGACTTTTTATTCATCACAGTAGCATCTACTTTTGAAAAATGCATTGCATTTCTTAAACTACAGCTAGTCCTTATGTGCATTAATGACATGGCATTTTGAGATTCTTGGCTCTTAGACTGGAAATCACTGGTATAGATAAAATAGCATTAATATTTGCATTAATGTTGACTTGTACTCTGTGGCAGGCATTGTTCTAAGCACTTTACACATATTATCTCACATAATCTACATCCATTCCATCATTGTAGTCTCTGCTTAAATGTTTTCTCCTCAGAGAAGTCTTTTCTTATCCTAGTAGACCTACCCTTTCCCCTTTCCATTATTCTCTATCCTTTCATCCTGTTTATTTGCCTCAAGACACTCATCTCGGTAAGTAATTAGTAACCTATTTGACTGTTTCTCCATTCACAGTATGAACTTTGAAAACAGGGACGGTGTCAGTTCACCGTAGTATACCAAAAGACCAGAACTGTGCCCCAGTGCTTAACACAGAGCACAGTGCTTGGCACATTCCACTAAATGAATGAAATTAATGAGCAAAAAAGACATATATCTTCATACAATGTTCATGATACTAGTGAGGAAACTAAGCCTAGATAGTGAAACAGACTCATCCAAATGTTAGTCAGTTACAAAATTTATTTGAAACTCAGTTCTGTTTGACTCCAGAGCCCAAATTCTTCACCATGGTTCTGGTCTCAGAAAGAAAAAATGAATATTGTCCTGACTGTGTGTTCTTGAGCAAGGCTTGGGGTTTTTTTCCATTGAAAACTGAGAGGGTAGCATTAGATGATCCTGCCTCTACCAATGTTTAGTGATTTATAAGATCTGTGATCTATGAGAACAAAATTTATGAGAATAAAAAGGGAAAGGAGCACTGAAGGGTCCAACAAAGTTGACTTGATGCTTTTAAAAGAACGAATTTTCAGTTCTCTTCTTCCTTCCCTCCAGATTTGTTAATCCTTATTTTTATGAGGCTCTGTGCAGAGGTCTACAAAGGTAGAGAACCAAAGATTAACAGGACATTGAAACAAAGTGTGTTGTTGATTCCTACTTATATTGACTCTTATAGGACAGAGTAGGCTGCCTCATGGTTTCCAAGACAGTAGACCTTTTTGGAAGCAGACTGCCACATTTTCCCTTCTCCATGGAGCAGCTAGTGGGGTTTAGAGCAGATGGTGGGTTCCAACTACTGATCTCTCTATTAGCTGATGCCTAACATTGTGCCACCAGGACTCCTAATACAACATGGATTTTGCCATTGAGGTACCTGGTCTTCTGGGGAATGCAGATCCACTAATAGATGCTAGAAGAACAGTAAGGAAATGCCATGATAGCAACATGTATGAGGCTCAGGTAGAGGAGGAAGGGATTAATTCCATCATGTATGAGGGAGCTTCAAAAAGTTTGTGGAAAAACAAAATGAAATGAAAAGATAATTGACTTTTTCTGTGAACTTTTGGAAGCCTCCTTGTATGTTTATGGAGGTGGGAATAGTGGTGGGTATGTAGGAAAGGGAGATGAGGCATAATGCTTGTTAGTTTTTCAGGTGGACAAGGTGGAGGTGAGACTTCTTGGTTACAAGAGACATCATGTACAGAGGCATACCAAGAAACATACAATGTACTGAAGATTTCTAGGGTAAGGGGTTGGTTCTCAGGGTATAGAAGTGCTTTGCATATCATGCCCAAGAGTTTGCACTTCACTCCCAAGAGCAGTGGCATGCCCAAATTACATTTATTTTTAGAAACATCACTCTTGTAGTGAGGGGTAGGACTGGAGAAGGGTGATGAAGCTACAGGTGTGGAGACCAGCTAGGAGGCTTTGTAATAATCCAGATGAGATATGACGAGAGCCTGGGCCTGAGCTATTGGCAGCAGGGTCAAAGAGCAACTCGATAATTTGTAGATTTTTAAAACATAAAGCCAAAGGGCTTGGTGAGTGATTGGACAGGATAGAATAAGATGGGACTAATGGATTTACTGGAATGAATTAAAACAGTGCCATTAATAATTATAATGAATTTGAAGTTGGGTTATTATTTCTCATTAATGAGGCTGATTTTGGAGATTTTGAGTTTGATGTGTCTCTTAGAGTGAAGTTTTAAAAAGGTTTCTCCAGAATAGTCAAAGTCAGATGTCCTTGGTCCAATTTCCTGGGGGGGAAAGTGAGGAAACACACGGGGATAAAATTCTTAGCGACGTCGCTGTAATTTCTGATCCGGACTTACTTCAAGGGTAAATATCAGGAAATGATAACTCCATAGACCTTTCTTGGTAGAAGGAAGATGGATCGTGGACCTGTATTCTAAAAGTACACACTGAATCCAATGGAGCCAACACTCCTGTCTCCTGCAAGCCCTGGGCTTTTAAAATGAAACTATTTCCCTTGGAGTAGCCTCAGACAGGCTCTGGCTCTCAGGTGTACTCCCAAGAAGCTTCTCCACAACCTCTCTTCGGTTGTGACTTTTAAAAGACAATATTATACTATATAGCTTATATATAATCTGCTCCCAGTTGGGTGCTGAAAACACACACACACACACACACCACAAAAAAATCCTGGACTCCTCTCCCAACCACCACTCCTGACTTCTTGTTGTTAAGTACAGTGGAGTCAGTTCCGACTCATAGTGACCCTACAAAGGGTTTTCTTTACGGGAGCAGAACATCTTATCTTTCTCCCGCGGAACTGCTGGCAGTTTCGAACTGCTGACCTTGAGGTTAGCAGCCCGATTCGTAACCACTACGCTACCAGAGCTCCATGGAACATAACTCCCGACTAGGTGTCCTCAATTCCAGAAAAGGACTTAATGTCGCCCCATCTCTTTCCAAAATAACCCGATGTTGTGATCCTTCCCCACCTCAACTCGAATCCCTAGCGTTCCCTAAGCATTGCCAGGGCGAGCACGTGGACTAGATTATGGGCAGGCCTACAGGGTCCTCCCAGGAAAGGGGATGCTCCTAGAGGCAAGGCAACCCAAGGTAACCCCCTAGCTCCTACAGTCGGTGGTCAAAGGTTGGATCACGCCCTATTTCCCACTCCCCCATTCATAGGATGGTGTCAGGATCCGTTATCTCTACTCCGCCTTCTTTTCACGCATGACCCTACTGTCATGCCGATAAATTCCCAAAAGCTAAGGGTAGCGCGATTCTTCCCGCGCCCCTGCGGGCCCCGAGGCCGGGCGCTAAAGCAGTGCAGTCCCAAGCTTCCCCTGCAGAAGCCGCGCTTCTCACTCGGTCAGAGGGTAGAGGGGGCGCGAGAGAGCCAGTGGGCGGGTGTCCCATCCTCCGCATCCTCCTCCAGGTCCTGGCGCGCAGGGTGGGAGCGCTGCGCGGCGCTGCGCATAGCAGCCCGCTAGCTGCCTGCCCCCTGCCCTAGCTCGGCCACCTCCCCTGGCTACCGGTGGAGGGCTGCGAGGCGCTAACGTTACGCTGTTTCCGGTTTTCCAGCGAGCTCTGTTTCCCCTCCCAAGGCGGCGGCGGCGGAGCGGCGGAGCCCCCCAAATGGCCTGGCCAGATGCGGCAGGTTTGCTGCTCAGCGCTGCCGCCGCCGCCACTAGAGAAGGGTCGGTGCAGCAGCTACAGCTACAGCGACAACAGCAGCAGCAGCAGCAGCGAGAGAAGCAGCAGCAGCGAGAGCGGCAGCAGCAGCAGAAGCAGCAGCGGCAGCGGCGGCAGCAGCATCTCCCGTCCCGCTGCGCCCCCAGAGCCGCGGCCGCCGCAACAGCCGCAGCCCCGCAGCCCCGCAGCCCGGAGAGCCGCCGCCCGTTCGCGAGCCGCAGCCGCCGGCGGCATGAGGCGCGACCCGGCCCCCGGCTTCTCCATGCTGCTCTTCGGTGTGTCGCTCGCCTGCTACTCGCCCAGCCTCAAGTCGGTGCAGGACCAGGCGTACAAGGCACCCGTGGTGGTGGAGGGCAAGGTACAAGGACTGGCCCCAGCCAGCGGCTCCAGCTCCAACAGCACCCGCGAACCGCCCGCCTCGGGTCGGGTGGCGCTGGTGAAGGTACTGGACAAGTGGCCGCTCCGGAGCGGGGGGCTGCAGCGCGAGCAGGTGATCAGCGTGGGCTCCTGTGCGCCGCTCGAAAGGAACCAGCGCTACATCTTTTTCCTGGAGCCCACGGAGCAACCCTTAGTCTTTAAGACGGCCTTTGCCCCCCTCGACACCAACGGCAAAAACCTCAAGAAAGAGGTGGGCAAGATCCTGTGCACCGATTGCGGTGAGTCGCTCCCTCCCTTAGCTAGAGAAAGGGGGGAGGGGCGCAGTGGTGGAGAATGGGGGTGGGGCGGGGTGGTGCTGCAGGTGCCCGGGCCTGGCAGCGGCGGGCAACTGGGGGGTGCGGCCGCCCCTAGCTAGGGCGCCGGGTTCCGGTGGGTGAGGGGGGTTGGGATGGGAGAATAGGAGGATCTGACTCAAAGTATGCCAGGGGTGGGGGGCTTAGGGAGGCGCCGGCCTGTGCTAGCAGGGATCTGCGGCTGATGTATGGCATGTGGGGCTGGAAAGCTGCCATCATAGCCCAGTAGAGGTAGGAAAAACGGAGAGGTCCGGGCGGTGCTGGTTTGAGGCTCAGTGAGTCAGGAGTGACCCTCGGAGGCCTGGCCCTTTCGGCTCCCACGGGCCTACCTGGCCCAAGCTGGCAGGGTCTGCAGGAGCAGCTGGGCAGACTCCCAGGCTGTGAAGGCCTCCGCTTGCAAGTTCTGCTCAGGAATGATCGCCCCCGCCCCCTCCTTCGTCTCCTGGGTTCGCTGTTCTGCTCATCCACACCGCTGGCGCAGGCAGAGTTGGACTTTTTCTGCTGTTTTCAGTCCTCCATGTGACTCGGGCTTTTTTCTCTTCGTGGTGACTGCCTGTTTTAGCTAAGGGGACAACAGAGTCGTGTCTCTTAACCTCCAGGACTAAAGCCAATATCTCTTTTGACTGTTTGTGGGAGCTCTTGTTAGGGCTGTTCGTTGTGCTGGTGATGAAAAGAGTAACTTCTGCTGAACACTGTTAAGTTCTGCTCTGATATCATACTGGCAGGATGTATTGACCGCAGCTCTCATCTTCACAGTGTTGGGTGCTGCACAGGAATGCAGGTGATTAGAAACAAAACACTGATAACCTGTTTCTCTGTGTAGCTGGGAATGGAGTCTTCCATGTCAGAAGTTAAAAGAATGCCCGTTTAAGAGAGCTTTTTCTTGTTGTTCCTGAAATACTTCTCAATGAGATATTTCAAACTGGCTTGTCCCCGCACAAATACTGGAGTATTTGGATTACAATGTCTTTTGCTTATTCATATTGGGGTTTCATTTTGTCCCAACTAAAGCTGACATGTGTGACTTTCTTGACTAAAGTCACTAAATTGTGACTGGTGTCCTAGACTCATCGAAGAAGTTGGTATGTTTACCAGTTTACCAATTGATTCTGGATAATGCAGATAGACTCAGAGAAGCAAAGAATGTGTAGTAGCTCATAGGAAGTTTTGCCCTCCTTATCTCTAAAGATCAATGCCTTTGAATTTTGTAAGCTTACCCCCTTCCATGGAGCTCTGGTAGCGTAGTAGTTATGAATCAAGCTGCTAACTACAGGGAAACTGTAGTTTATGAATCAAGCTGCTAACTACAGTTCGAAACTACTAGCTGTTCAGCGGGAGAAAGATGAGGCTTTCTGCTCTCGGTAAAGATTTACAGTCTCGGAAACCCTGTACAGGGTCGCTATGAGTCGGAACCGACTCTATGGCACATAACTACCACCACCACCCCCTTCCATGCCCTTCAAGACGCAAATTATAGGAGGTTAGTTGAGGAAGCATATCCAGACGCTATGTTAAACTGTGATCACTTTACATTAGCCAGAGGAATTTTGACAACGCCTTAATTCAGGAGAAAACAAACTTAGGTGATAACATTAATACCAGTTTTCACATTGCACTATAGAATATCGTTGACTGCTCATATATGTTGGTTTCTATGTTCAGATGTATTTTATTGTGACAAGTTGAGATCAGTTAAGAATTTCTAATTTTTGTTGTGTTATTTTCTCTGTGATCCTTTGGGAAGCAGTGGGAAATAGATAGTAAAGACATTTATTGAAGCTTGTCCAAGGACAGCTTTTGTTTTGGTGAGTAGCTCCTAAATATGCACAGTGCACATCTCCACATAATCCCCAGTCTGGTTCACTGAGGATCTAACTGTCATTGTCAGATAGGAACACAACATAATGGGCTTCTCTGCTCCCTTGTCTCCCTCCTTACTGTCTTATCCCCCTTCCCCAGTATAATATGCTGTATCATTTATGCTTGTTCGTTTTCATGAGTATTTAATAATTGAATGAGGAGATTGTGAAAGATATGTGTGTCAGAAATAAATATAGTCTGCTTTTAGGTTAAGGCCAACTCATACTGGTAAAATAGAATATGTAGTTTAGTTCTCCAAAAGATAAATTTAGGGCTAACTCACTAGTAAAGAGAAGTTCCTCACATATGACAAATTACCAAGGGGCAGGGAATATGTATGGAAGTAAACATCTTTATTTTATTTACTTATGTAACATTTTCATTGTGCTTTAGGTGAAAGTTTACACAGCAAGTTAGTTTTTCAATCACTAATAGTTGGTGCACAAATTGTTCCTTGACACTGGTTGTAATCTCTGAAATGTGTCAGCACTCTCGCTAATGTCTATTCATCTATCTTCCCTGCCCCTCCTTTTCTTCTCATTTTTGGTTTTGGGCAAATGTTGCCCTTTTGGTCTCTTATAGGTGATTGTACTAAGGAGCACATTCTTCGTGGATATTATTATTTTGTAGACCTATCTATTATTTGACTGAAAGGTGGCCTCTGGGAGTATCTTCAGCTTCAAGTTAGAAGATTGTTTTTGGGCAATAATCTTGGGAGTTCCTCTAGTCTCTTTCAGACCAGTAAGTCTAGTGTGTGTGTATATTTAATTTGAATTTTGTTCTGCATTTTTTTACCCATTTAACCAGGGCCTTCTATTGTGGTCTTGGTCAGAGTGGTTGGTAGTGATAACTGGGCACTATCCAGTTCTTCTGGTCCCAGGTAAGAGGGGGCTGTGGTTCATGTATTTCACATTAGCCCTTTAGATTGATTGTTTCCTGGAGTCTTGTTTTCATTTACTCTCCCTTGCTTTAGGTTGGAAGAGACCAATAGCTGCTTCTTAGATGGCCGCTCTGTTAAGATCTCAGATGCTATTCACCACGTTAGAATGTAGAACAGTATGAGCTGTGTTGTACCAATTAATCTACTGTCCCCCGAGGCCTTGGTCCTTAGCCTTCTGGTCCAGTGGTTCAGTCCTGATGTCTAAGTAGTTTCTACAACTGTACCTTCTATATGCTCTAATATATATATATATATATATATATATATGAGTATATGTGCAGCATTTACAAATATATGTATAGAAATATCCACCACCATATTTATATATACCAGTGTATTCTCTTAAAGACTTTTCTCACTTATTTAGCGTACATATTTACCTATGTATTTACTCACAAGTTTTTGTCAGTTCTTGCTGCTGCTTCAGGAATGTATATAGTGCAATCATTTGTCATAGTTGTCCCTTATTCTTGCATACCTCTCAGTGTCTTCCTTTGCCGACTTCCTGGAAGTAAACATTCTAGAATGCAAAGCAGTTTGCTTGTACGTATGTATCAGTTTGGGGATTAGGAATTAAAGACCATATTTGTAAGAGAAAAATTTTAGATTCGGCACTAATATGACAAAAGACTATAAACTGCATTTTCTTACTTTCTACCACGTGGTTAAAGTAAACATGCAATGGTAATGGTCTATTAAATAAGGAAACAAAATCGTCCTAGCTAATCACAACACTTTCCTTGTACTCAGCAGGAAATAACTAACAAATTCATTTTCTGTTTTCTATCTTTAAAGAAAGCCCTCTGGGCCACAGGGTCATTGGGAACATTTTCTCCTTGGAGCAGATTTGCCCATTGCAAAACAGGGAAACTGGCACTTGGAAACTCATCATGATGGTTATTTGAGCTACTGAGGTTGAATTGTTACTTTATTTATTCAGTTTCAGCTCTCTGAGTGTCTGGATCCTGAGAGATGTAGCTCCTGGGATTTCATCTAGAATGCTTTGTTTGGAGGGCCAGGACTTTGGGGTGATATACCAATATGGAGGGAGAAGTTGTTCTTAAAGGTGGCGTATGTCTCAATGGCATATGTCTGGTAGCGTAGTGGTTACGAATTGGGCTGCTATCCTCAAGGTCAGCAGTTCAAAAATACCAGCCGCTCCGCGGGAGAAAGATGAGGCTTTCTGCTCCCGTAAAGATTTACAACCTCGGAAACCCTGTACAGGGTCACTATGAATCGGAACCGACTCCACGGCACATAACAACAACAACATGTCTCAGTAGCATGGAAGCAGGGGTCATACTGGACCCCATCTAAAAGGTCCTCACAAATGACTAATTTAAACTTAACTGTGATATATTACCCTGAAGACCTTGATCAAAGGTGGGAAGTGGTAAATAAGGCTTTTTGCTAACAGAGTGGTATCTGGCACATGGACATTTAAATAGATTTAATGTGTGTAGTTCATCCAAAAATCTAACGTGTGTATCTCTGGTGAGAAAGAGTTGGGTAAAATGTTTGCATTTCTAACAGGAGCATACATTGAGTGTTTTCTGTGTCCTCTGCAGAAAGGAAAGAAAAGAGTTAGAAAGGTCTTACAGGGATTAGCAACTCTGCACAGTGCTATAAAAGCTCCTTGTTCTGCAAATAGTCCTGCAGTTTTAAAGAAGGGTGCATATATTTTGGTATAATTACACCCTATCGTGTTGCTTTCTTACATACATGTTTTTAAGTTGTTTTCTTATTGAATAGATGCAGTAGACAGCATTAAAAAAAAAAAAATCACTTCTTCCTTTGAGACTTTCTGACTTTCAGTTTTCCGGTGTATAATATCCTTTTTTGTTTAAAATGGGAAAAGTGGGAGAGGGGGGTCCTTGGGGGGGGGCAGGGTGGCTGTATACTCCTTAGGATAGTTTTTAATTGATTTGGCAAACAAATTCACATATTAGAGAAAGGTGCTTCACAAAATCCAGTATAGCAAAAGTGACTGCATATTTTTAAAACGCTGTTTATTTAAAGAATCTTATTTTTCTTCCCCAGCCAGCTGGAAACCCAGCTGTGCTGCAGCTTAAAGATGGGAAAGTGAAACTAGATAGAAACTGACCAGTGGTGGTGGAGGGGACAG